CAAAATAATACTTCTATAAATTGCAATTATCGCTTAAAAGTCATCAACAAGATATTTGTTCGAAAATTTTCAGCATCAGTAACTATTTCGGTTAGAACTTCTTTCAGTTAGAACCTTGGAGAACTTGTTTTTCAAGGGAAAAGCTCAAATTTCGAGCTAAAAACGTCCGCAACTGTTTCAAAATTTAAGCTCAGATTCAGCCGAATTTACAGGGAAAAATAGCGAGATTGAAAGAAAAGGAAAAACAAAATTTTATTGAAAATAAAAAAACGAGATAAAAAACGGGTTAGAAAAAGTTTAGAGGTGATTTTTTTTTGAAAAAAGGAAAGGGTCAATCGATCGACTACAATCGACTACAGCCATCGCTTTTTGATCGAAAAAAAGGAAAGGGAAACGGTCATTTTTCCGTTTTCTTTGTCTCTTTTTTGTCTCTTTTTATCTCTTATTTCTGATCCTTATCATTTTTCATTGTGTCTATTCCTGAACACAGCAACGAATGGTCAACTTTGACCGCTTTTACGAATGTTTGTTTGGGGAATGGACAAATTGTCCAAAAGAATTCGGTTTTCACAAAACATTTGCAATAGTGAATTCTTAAACTACAATAATGTACTATTGTAAGCTACAATATTGCACTATTGTAAGCTACAATAATGTACTATTGTAAGCTACAATATTGCACTATTGCAATCTACAGGGTGACCAAGAATTACCGCAACAACGTCGTATTATGTGATGAGCCCCTTTTCACTTTTTGCTTACCTGTTTTTATGGTTTTTGTGTATTTTTCTTATTTTATGGTACGATTATTAACTTTATCAACAAGATGGTGCGCCGGCTACAAGATATCAACAGGTGCGCCGGCTCACAAGGCAAAGAAAGTGCAAGAGTTTTGTTCAAAGACCTTCCCGGACTTCATCTCGTTTTCTGAGTGGCCACCCAGCTTACCCGATCTTAACCCATTGAATTACTCAGTCTGGAGAGTTCTTGAAGCCAGGGCATGTGCAAAACCACATAAAAATATCGAAAGTTTGAAGAAGGCGCTCATCAAAGCATGGGATACCCTGGATGATGCCTATTTGCTCGCCACGGTCAACGCGTTTCCCAAACGTTTGCAGGCCTGTTCTGGATGCCGATGGAGGCAAATTTGAATTTAGTTGTTAATTTGTTACTGTTATATGTTGAATAAAGATATTTAAGTTAACTTTTCGAGATGGGTTGCGTATTTGGTTAAAAGCCAGGCCTTTTGTGTGTTGCGGTAATTCTTGGTCACCCTGTACATAACTATTTCACAAAATTCCTCAACATTTTCTGTGTACAATCACTAATAATTCAATCAAAAATATCAGGATTCGATGTGAAGCAAGCTTTTATTAAACCTTGTGAAGAGATCTGACTATTGAAGTTTTACAAAAGAGCCACTAGGGTGAGCTGAGCTTGAACCCGGATTCGGAGCCAGCATCAAAAACTCTACCTAATAGACATGGGAAAATTCCAAGCCGAACCTAATTTCACCTTTGTTTTCTCAGCCGTTTCTCGGCCGATTGCTCTGTAATTTTGTCTACAAGCTGAAAATGTCGATTTCTATCTGTAAACAAAATTACAGAGCAATCGGCCAAGAAACGGCTGAGAAAACGAAGGTGGAATTAGGTTCGAGCTGGAATTTTCTCAAATCTACTAGGTAGAGTTTTTGATGCTGGCTCCGAATCCGGTTTCACTGACGTTTATTTCTCTGAAGAAAGAAAAACGTTTGCGACAAGGGAGTACCGTTTAGGAAACACAGACAAAACAAGTGCGAAATAGAATTGAAAACTCTAGGAAGTGCAACTCTAGAACGGTCCTAGGACTTGGACTTACTTGACTGAACAACTGTAAGCAAAGCTATGTCAGAACTGACTTATCCTGGTCTTGGAAATTTAAGTTTAGAACAGCCTTAGAACTTGAGAATAAAAAATAGTTAAACGGGTAAACTTCAAAGAAATGTTAGAGTCGATTTTTCTCTTTTTCTTTCTCGTTTTTCTTTTGATTCCTCGAGGCCCAAGCCAAGGTAAACACTTAAAGCACAGAGAATTCCCCCCCACGAACGGAAAGGTTAATGAACGAATTTCTTTTCAGAGATTTTCGTTTTCTTTCGAATTTAGTGACGAAAAAAAAATAAATAAATGATGAAATTTGACATGTTGAAGCGAGTAAGCTTTGAATCAAAAGTCAGCTTTGAATCAAAACAGCTTTGAATCAAAACTCAGCATTAAATCAAAACAGTTTTAAATCAAAACCAAGAAAAGAACACTTTTACGAAACTTTTACAAGGCTAATTTTTTTAAAACTCATAATAAAATACGAGATAACCCTTCGATAAGTAAAAACAAAGAATTCTGCTTAAAAATGGCAAATTCACAGTCAAATTTACAGCTTTTGCTGTAAAAATTTGGATTACTTACCCAAGAAAGCTTGGAAAATGCAGAAATAAACCATTCTATATGTTAAAATTATAAAAATATTAAAAGCTATAATCCCATAAATTTAAAATAAAGTTAAAAATCAATAGATTCACTCAAATTTAGCAAAAGCTACAGATAGAAATTGTTAAATTTCAAAAAGAACAGTCTAAAGGCTTGCACTAAAGCCAAAACCATTGCTGAACATTAGGAAAGATAGAAATTCTTGACGCAATGATGGGCGGGAATTCGTGTGGAAAAGGATGAGGAGTAAAAGGAAAAAAGGAGTAGTGAGTGAAAAAGGAAAAAGGAAGGGGAAAGGGGGAAGGAGTACGAGAAATAGAGTGCCGAAGAAAGGAGGGGACAGTGGAATTGGCCGGGTCTACACTGAGGAAAGGGGATTCTTGTGAACCTCCGCGGAGAGGGGACCCCAACCCTAGAGGTTCGACCTCCGCCTTTCCCCCGTCCAATGTTGTTTTAACTAGAGAAAGGCAAGCCATTGTCGTGGCTTTTTAGAGCGAGATCAAACCCATCTTATAGAATCAGCCACGCTATGTTCGAATTTGCTTTTAGTCTTTGCTCTCGAAGCCCATAACGCAAGATATCTGGCTTACAAATTTTGTTTGCATTTTTGATCCACGCCATTAGAGGCCATTGGAGGCCACGCCATTGGAGACCAGGCCATCAAAATGTGGCTACATGGCCTAGGGAATAGTGCTCTCGGTATGAGTTTTTTTTGCTTTGCTTTGATTCCCCTTACGTCAAACTTTTTACCTTTTCTTTTTATATTAATAAAATCTTTTTGATTGGTCAAACCAAAAGAAATTGGCCATGAAGAGGATTGAGCCAGGGTGCTTTTGACTCTAGAGCTTTGGCGATGCACCACGTCACTAGTTGTCTCCGTTGTGAAAAATGAACTCAAGTACGGAAGCCTAAAACTTGTAACCCAGAGATTTCGCGTTACAGGCCTCGAGGGCAAAAACTGAAAACGGATTCGGAATCAGCGTGATCGATTCTATAAGTTGGACTCGTTTTAAAAGGTCACGGGCACCTGGTAATGTTTCCTAGTAGAGAATCCACTCTCCTCCCCTTCAGCCACCCTTCCCCCTCTGCTTCCCCTGCAACCCCTTCACCACCTCTTTCTCATGAAAAGAACCCTTTGCCCTTTTCCATTTCGAAGTGGACATGAGAGATTGGGAAAATGAAGAGAAATTTTGGATTTTAGAGAGGATGGGACTCTAGGAGAGTGCACTGGGATGTATGTGGAATCGTCCAGCGGAATCAATCGACCTTCTTTCTATTCCTTTTCCCATCCTTTACATCTCCAAACTATCAACGGGGATGCGAATCTAACATTTTGCTGAAATTAAGAAAAAGTTTCGGAGTTTTTTTGCAATAGCTATAGGTTTTAGCTTCAGGAATCCAAAGAAGCAATAATCTAGTCGGCTGGATTGAACCCTTTACCTCTCGACACTTAGCCAGCAGGCCATCGCGGTTTAAATACCAATAGCACACGAACACAACGTATTGTACTTTTTAGAGACTTTTGATGCTAAAGGCTTAAATAGTGAAGAGAAATAAATTTGCAGGAAATCAACTAACTGAGCAAAACTTCAAAAATCAAACAACATTGAATAAAAAAGCAGAAGCAAAAATCAATGTGTTCTTGTGTCGGATTTGCTGCGTGGATGGAGGATCAGAATGGATAAAATGAAGGGAAAAAGGATACAATGAAATGAGGGGAAAGGGAAAAGGGGGATGGGATATCGAAAGGAAAAAAGGAGGGACACATCTCTCTAGGGGAAGAGATGGGGGACACTCTGCAAAAAGGGTCATAGGATGAGAGGGTGGATTGGAAAGAGCATCAGAAAAGAAAAACCACTCTTCCTCCAAAATTTGATATCTTTTGGATGAGATGAGATGGAATATTGAAAATAAAACCTATCCACAGCTTTAAAAGCTGTCTGTCGAAGTTTTTGAAATTAACAAAAGCACTTGTCGACCTTACGCTTGCTAATTTGGGCATCTGGCTTATCTAGCTTATCTGGCTTCTGGCTTATCTAGCATCTAGCTTATCTAGTATCTAGCTTATTTAGCTTATCTAACATCTGGCTTATCTGGGCACCTGGCTTATCCAGCTTGAATTTTGGTGCCACTGGCTTGATAAGGCTCCTTGTCTGAAGCGATACTTTAACTGTAACTGCTACTTGCTGTAACTTTGTAGCTTTAGCTCTCAATCTAGTTGCAACCTTAACCCAGACGTAGGCCACTCGAGAAATTCAATACACCGGTGTTTACTAGAGCACATAATGGCTTATTTCCATATCTTATTGCTGTTGGGCCGCATGAACGCCACATATAGTCCTAGACAATACTTTGTACTGTTATTGGTACTATCAATTCTGGACTAGAGCTTCTTTTTATCTTTTATCTACCCGTTTCAAAACGATCCATATAAGATTCGAATAATTTATTCAAAAACAATAATCAAAATACAAATCGAATAATACTGGAATGGGTCTTTTTTGAATGAGAATTTGAACTTGAGAACTCAATCGATCACAGATAGAGCGGATCGTCGTAGGCGGCGATTTTCACTCGGATTTTCCCCTCGCCGAACTCTTTCACCTCTTCTCGGCTGTCATTATCTAAAATGGAAAATGAATGAAATGGTGGCAAGGATAGCTCAGGCTCAGGCTCAATCATATCACACTTATTCAATCTTATGATAAGCAAAGTCAACTCTGACTTTTGTGTCAGTTGAAAGTTCTCTATGCAACTATATGAAAATTTAACAATAAGATTGTCTCTAGACAAATTTATGGTCTCAAGAGCTAACTTTTCGTTTACCTGTCAGTGCTATAATATCGACTCTTCCCACTAATCGATCCCTCCCGATTTTCCTGTCCTCCCACACCTCGACCGCGTACTTTTGCCGAGCAGATCTCCTGGAAATTGGGTTTATCTTAAAAAGCTCATTTACTCAATGCTAAATTTGAAATACGGAGTGCGGCAGGATTATTAGAACCGATTATTGGAACCTCAAAGCATCAATGTTAGTTCCAACAACTATTTCGACATACAGTCAACTCTCTCTATAACGGAATGGAAAGGACCAAGAAATTCTTCCCTTATATAGAGCTTTCCATTATATAGACTGCCGTTTTATATAGCTTAGCATCGGCCGGGAAAAAAAATTCCATTCCGTTATATAGAGTTTCGTTATAAAGAGAGTCGACTGTACTTCTTCCGTGAGCCAAAAAACACTTTGGAAACAGGATTTGGTGTTTGATGCAGGATGATGCTTATGCTCACAAGGCTCGAGTGGTTCAGGACAGCATTTGTCCCGATTTGGCCACCTCAATCCGATGATAATCCGATAGATTTCAGTGTTTAGAACGTGCTTGAAGCAAAAACATGCTCAAAGCCGCATTCCAGCATTGATTCGCTTAAGAAATCTCTTCAAAAAGCATTTGATAAACTCGATCTCGCTACCATGGATGTATTTCCCAAATCTCAGCTACATTTCTGCTCATCTTTTTAAAGGAAGTATTTTTTCTTGTTTAATATATCTTTAAAAATCAATTGTTAAAGTTTTTGAGTTGATTTCTTTCGCTTTTTATCCTTAAAAAATTGGTTTCAAAAACCCTGCCACATGCTGTATATCTCTAGACAAAACCGACTTGAAAAATAGGAATTGTTCATCCCATTTGGGTGAGGTCGATTCGCGCATCGTTCGCGTTCTCAGCTGACTTTTCCCGTCATCGAGCATACAATAGAAATCGCCTAAAGTGATGAGTTGATTAAAAGGTCTTTGAATAGCTGTTACGTCCAATCTAGACTGATTCTAGATCGAACGTCAGATCTAGAAATCCGTCCAATTGGACGTCCGATCTAGACTCAAGTGAGGTCAAACGTTCGATCTAGAATCAAGCCGATCACTCTAAATCAGACGTCCGATCCAGACTTAGATTTAGAGTGATCGGCTTGATTCTAGATAGGACGGCAGACCTCACTTCACTCTAGATCAGACGTTTTACCTTACTTTACTCCAGATCGGACGTCCGATCTAGAATCAGTCTAGATCGGACGGATATCTAGATCGGAGGTAACATATCTATTAGGTTGATGCATAAGTCTTTTCGTTTTTTTCGTACTTCTGTTAAAAAGTAACAAATGCATCAATTGAACTACGGTTGATTTCATTAGAAAAAGCAATTATTTTTCTGCAAAATAACATTAAAACGGGTTTAAAAATATTGAATGCCTGGATTTTCTTGAGAGTATGAAGTCGGGTAGTCAAAAAGGGCTAACTCGATGATGCGGTTTAGACACCTTAGCTAAAGAAAACCTATCTTCGTGTCAATAGATAAAAGATAGAGAAAAAAAACGTTTGATATTTCGCCAAAATTTCAGAGAAATTCATTCAGCCAATTTTTCCGTAGAGTTTTTTATAGATTTTTACGAAAAAGGCGTTTTTCACTCTCGAATTTGCTTGAAAGTCAACCGAAATTCATTTAAAAAGATGCAAATTGAACAAAAAAACACTTTTTTTATAGAGCAAACTATAGATTAATTCGTGAATTTGTTACTTTTTAACAGAAGTACGAAAAAAACGAAAAGACTTATGCATCAACCTAATACAAACAATATTTAGTCTGAAATCTAGAAATCTGTAAGCTGTACTTGTACAGTTCAAAACTACTAGATATTTTCTGCGTTTCTATTTTTGGAACCTATCTTTTATGTACTTAGATTATGTCTTTTATGTCTACAATATGGGATAAGGCCCTACCCTGACGGCAACGGGATAATGTGTAGCTTATTGGTAGAGTGTTATCGTGGTGACGAGAGTAAGCGGTAGTAAGAGGTCGCGGGCTCGAGTCCCGGCGCCGATCGGTTTGTCTTGTTTTCTCGATGCTTTGTATTCCCAGCCTCAACCCATAAAAGGACCAGCCAACTCCAATTCTATCATAATTTCAAGGATTTCAAGATATGAAAGAATTGAACAAGAACAAGGAAAAGAAGAACATTGTCACCTTTAACTCGAACTGGGCAAAGCTATGACTATCATTGATTAAAAATGTGATGTAGTATGCTACTTGGACAAGGAGTAGCTATCGTTAGCTGGTAAACGATGTTTATCGATTGTTTTAGAGGTCAGAATCGTTTACCTGAAGTCCCTGGAAGACTCGCATCAACGATATGCACCCTCGTGACATGACTCGCCGATTGCCAGCACCAACCGACTGACGGCGCTTGTCGCTTCAACTCTTTCATGTGCAATTTTTCAGAGGAGTAGGCCTGGAAATGAGTTTTGTAAAAAGGTTTTTGATTTCTTCTGAAATAAGCTAAAACAAAACTCAATCATTTATGCATTACTTTATTTGATATAAGCTCACCCTTAACATATAAGTCGCTTGTTCTCGTGGAGCGTAGGTGGTGGGTAAAATGATGTATCGGCCAGGCCGCACATCGATTAAATGGAGGAACACCGATCGAGCATTCGCATAGTCGGACGCTTCCACTGGTTCGGTTGGCTGAATGGCTACACTTTAAAGGATCGTTCGATATTAAGGACATCTTTTCGTGACTCTTAAGGCTTAAGACTACACTTTGTGTCATCTTTTCGTGGCTCTTAGGGCTTAAGGCTGCACTTTGTCATCTTTTCATGGCTTTTAAGGCTTAAGGCTACACTGTGTCATCTTTTCGTGGCCCTTAGGGCTTAATGCTACACTTTGTGTCATCTTTTCGTGGCCCTTAGGGCTTAAGGCTACACTGTGTCATCTTTTCGTGGTTCTTTCTTGTCACTTGTAACTAGAGTGTGCTCTTTTCAAAGCAAAGTTCTTTCTAGCTACAGTACTACAGTGATTTACCGTCAAACTTGCCTGATGCACCCTTGTGACTCGATTCCTTTCGACTCTCATAATATGCATTCCAATACAAACAAATGGTTCCCTTCTCTTTTTCCCTTCACCAACTTCTCGTTGCGTTAACGCGAACATCACCTCGTTTTTCTCATCATTCACATCAAAGACGTACTGGAATCGATTTTTAAAGTCAAAAACGGCTTTATTTTTTTATCTTTTAGCTAAATTTCACACAAAAATATGCTAAAATGGTTGAACTCAAAAATTCAACATTTCTGTAGAAGATTTTGCTCGAAAAAAACTCTTTAATAAACATGGGCACTACAAACTACAAACGTAAACTATAAAAGCTTCTAAATTGCTTCAAATCGAGCTTGAAAACGGACCGTGCTCGTGCGTAGTCGAAGCGATTGAGTCAGGCTACAAACCACTATAACTTTCTTTAGAATTACTATTTCTCGGTGCACTTTAGTTCATTCGAAAGCTCTTGAGATTCTCTATTTTTCAAGCTATAGATCGTGTCAATACGACAATTCTGAAGCAAGTTAGAAGCGTTTGTAGTGTGACAGTTCGTAATTTTTGTATTTAAAAGGAAACTGTTTTGATCTATAGTGATTGTTTTGATCACCGAGTGATCAATTCGATGTGATGGTTAAAATCACGCATACCTGTGGATTCGAGCAAAAAGAAGCGGGAAAATTGAGACATCCCCCGGCGAGATCACCGGGTGCACCACTACGAGCACCATTCGACGACCAATGGCCGAAGAAAATCTTCTCATCGTAACTGAAAGGGGGAAAGGTTTACAGTAATTTCTGAATTCTCCCAAAGCTACTTCTGGGCTAGGTCAGGTCAGAAGCCAAGTAGAAATGCTTGGCCAGAAGCTAAGCAGGAATCCCTTGTCTGAGCTAGACATGGGAAAATTCCAAGCCGAACCTAATTCCACCTTTGTTTTCTCGGCCGTTTCCTGGCCGATTGTTTTGAAATTTTGTTTATAAAGAGAAATTGGCATCCTCTGCTTTGGGGTGGAATTTTCCCATGTCTAGTCTCCACCCGCTGGCATCCAAGGCCGCATAGTTATACCGAGCCCTTAAAAACATTTAAAGCACAAAATTTGGAGTTTGGTGTGGTCTGGTGTGATCTAGGCTGGTTTACAGACCTTAGGGTTGGTTGATAGTTGAATTTGGGCAGTCTCAACACTTGTAATCTTTTTGCAAACCCACAAACCTCTTGGCTAAAGAAAACACGGATGTGTTGAACAATTGACACACGGAAATGTCGGTGAAATATTGCGTGAAAGACTCCCACGGCATCCAGAATTCTCCATCCTCATCAACGGTGATGCCAAGGGATTTCTTTGTGGAATCGGTCACCTGGAAAATAAGATAAAGTAAGAGTTGGGCTTTGGATTTTGAAGAAGATTTCATTTATAGCTGAAGACTTCCAATCACAGAATACGGTACAAGTTAAAAGTATGCTTAGTACTGGTTGTTGGTTTTGTTTTGTTGGCTTACTATTGAAGGAGTGGTTCGAATTGGAACCGTTTTTCACTAGTGACTCGCTTTTCCCCTGGATTTTTCCTGATTTGAGTTGGAATTGGATTTATTACCCAATTATTCTATCGATCTGGAGCGCACACTAGCTGAAACACTTAAAAAATTGTAGAAAGGACGATTTTTAAGAAAAGCGAAAACCTCTAATCGAACCACGATTAGAGGTTTTCGCTCACTAAAAATTTGCATAAATCTAAAATCCAAAAGCTGCAATGAACTATGTGCGCCCCAGAACTTCCAAAAAATTTCTTAGAATTTCCAGTTCTCAAAAAATTCCGCGCCTTTCCGGCCCGAGGTTTTTCGGGGTCTAGCAATCGATTGGAGCTACTCATTTTATTGAGGCTACCAATTAGAACTCGGGATTTAATTGGTCTAAAGTTTTAGATGTATTCGGAGACTTATTAGCCTATCTTGGAGCCTATGCTTGACTTAAAGCCAGCATTCCTTTACAAATGCTTGCCTCAACTACAGTTTGATCAGTTTTTACCTGTTCCCATTCGGGACTCCCGTCACTCCACGGTCCATTCCATTCCTTTTCTCCCCACGGATTCTGCAAACGGATCATCCGCTGTTTCTCCATGCTGCCCAAGAGGAATGAGCTGTAAACTTGGGCTTTGATTCGGTAGTTTCGATTTTCTTGTACCTGATCGATTTCTCTTTTGCATTCAGCTCAATAAAGCGTACATCAGTGACCGCATAGGCGTGTCCCTTCACTAAACCGCAGTCAAGCGTCTCCTCGATCTCCTCTTTCGTTCTCGCCTAAAAGACGATCTACAATAGATTTAGATACTAGCTGCTAGAGCTAGATGGATAACTCACAGCAATTGCGGCAATGACGAGCGCCTCATTCTCGTAGGCCATACTCAGTCTTTCGAATAGAAGATTCGACTGATTGGCTGGGTCGTTTTTCAGGAATTTGCTCACTAAAAACGGGTATTTAGTTGTTAGTTGAAAGCTTACTCTAATAATTACTATAATATTTTCATTTTGCATAAAAATATTGGATTGGTGAATTGAAAACTGCGGGCTATTGTCATATGTGACAGTTTTCACACTTTCTTCAAAAGAAACCCATTTTGGTGTCAATGGAAAAGTTGTAGAGAATCAAAAATCAAGCTTATATCCAAATTATATTACAATTACAAATTATAACCAACCCAATAGATAAATACAAAGACAGTTTAGCTCTTAAAAATCGAAGCCTCACTAAAATGGTTAGTGTCAAGTTTTTAAGAGACTAGTTGAAGGCTAGTTTCAATGGAACAAGGATAAGGACTAGTCTAAGGATCTAATTTTGACAATTAATAAACAATTTAAGAGACAATCAATGAAACAATTAATCTAAGGATCTAATTTTGTAGAAATTTTACAAAACTCACTGGAAATCGTTTCCGCCACTCCACCCGAGACATCTTGAAGTGCATCGGAGAGATGTCCGCCAACAAGGTTCTCATAACAACCGTACAATCTAGATTGGAGTTAAGTTTATGCCAGGTATTTTGAACAATGGACAATTTCAAAGGCGCAGATTTTTCGGAGCTAATATCTTTCTCTAGTTTAATAATACCCGACAAAAGCCAAGTTTACACGGTGATCGCGAATTATGGCGACACCTTTTTTGGAAAAGTTTCTGGCATACACCTGCCATATTGTGCCAAGTGTTATATAGAAAAATAAAGCCCTTAATCTTGGCTACATTTATCTCTTAAAAGTTTCCCGATTGGAAATATACAACTCATTTTACAAGCTCTCGAATGAGCTCAAGTCGACCTCTCTCCGGCTCTCTCCAATCTACCATTTTCGAACGCATAAAAGAAATGCATAAAAGCTTCATATAACTCGTTGTTTTTATAATCAAAAAGGTCTATTATTGCTCTACAAAATGGCTGCTAAGAGATTCCAAAAAGCTTTTGTTTTGTAGATTTTATGAGCTAATAAATGAAACCAGTCAGAATGACAAGGAATCCGATTCGTCGTTTGACTCGTTCCTTACACAAAAACTTAGCATAACAAAAGTTAGAGCACATTTAATTACATAAGTAGCCAATTTTCTGTAGTGATCTCGTCAGTCAAGTTTAATTTAACTAACTTTGCGAAAGCTTTCTCCAAGAGTGCAGACCAGAACTCGTTCGGCGTCTTTGAGCGAGCGAAAAGAAGCTTTCCGTCTCTGGAAAATGCGGTGGTTTTGAGCAAAATTTAAACAAATCAAAAAATAGACAAAGAGCTATAAGTAAAAGCGGGTAATATTATTAAAATGAAGCTGAAACATCGTTTTTTTGATTGCTGATTACCTTGTCGGCAACAAATCATCCACCACCACTTCCATCCAATTGCCAAAGCGCCAGAAACGAAATCGAAACAATCCCGAATAGGTATTGCCCGGGCCCCACTCTTGTTTATTCGAATTCGGGATCACCTGAAAAGGTTTTCGATTCTCAAGACTTTCGAAAGATCTACCTTATCCAAGAGAGCGGTGTTGTGAGTGAGAGCTGAACATGCGCTCACAAACCAGCAATTCCCGAGGATACCCTGAAACAAAAAAAGGATAAAATAAGGGTTTAACTGAATATTTATCTATCTATCTATTTGAAACTCTTAAAATTCTAAATGAAGACGGTAACTTCTATTCTGATAAAGTGCCGGTTTGTATAAGGTGCGTGAAAAGCTCTCTCCCCACCTAAAAGACCACTTTTTACGAAGTTTTCCAAAGTTTTCAAGACTTCAAACCTAAAAAATTAGATTTTTCAAAGATTTTTACGCTAGAAAATCATTGAAAATCTTTTATTTTATTCATATAGAAGATTTTATAGAACTTTTTATGATAACGTTTGAGGTCGAAGAGGAAAAGCTTTCCGAAATAGCTTTCCTACCATTGTAGCAAATTCGAATTTGGTTTTTTTAATAGTTTCAAACATTTTTAATAGCTGTTTAGCTATAAAAACAGTTTTTCTATAATTTATTACGGTTTTGAATTGAAAAGTTGAGCATTCTCGTCTCGATTTAAGGTTTTCTCTTCAGATCTTGTGCTGTGATCTCATTTCTAATTTTGATCACCTCTTTTCAAAAAAAAATAAGCCTAAGCCTAAGCCTAAGCCGATGAAATCTGACTAGCCAAATGTGAAGAATGCTAAACAGCTCCTTAGAATAATGTTTTAGCTAAATAGACATTCAAAAAAAGTGTTTAGAAAAGCTATTTTAACCTTTACTTCAAATCTTGTCCTAAAAAGTTCTATAAAATCTTCTATATGAATAAAATCGAAAGTATAAAAGAAGTTTCTAGCGTAAAAATCTTTGAAAAATCTAATTTTGGGGGTTTTGAGTCTTGAAAACTTTGGAAAATATCGTAAAAAGTGGTCTTTTAGGATCGGACAAGAGCTTTTGCCTTGCCCTGTACACTTGTAGAATAGCTTTGAATAATGTACACTCAATTCTGGCTCACCAAAGCCTCCTGTGGGACAGAAAAATAAGAATTCAGCGCACCGAAAAGTGTGCGTTTCGATTTTTGTGAGCACAAATTTCAAAGTTACCTGTGTGACATCATTCGGCGAGGCTCCTTCGACGAAAAGATGCGGATCGGTGACGATTTCCTGAAAGTCAAAAGATCACTATTTTTTCATTTTTCTAGAACACTGAACACTCAGATTCATTTACGCAAATGCTGAAAATTTCTCGATATTTCTATTACATTTACATCATTCTAGAAGTTTCTGAGCTTTGCTTTCAAAAGTACAAGTACAAGTACAAGCTTCTGAACAACTTTCTGTACAACTTTCTGTACAAGGTTCTGTACAACTTTCTGTACAAGTTACTGTACAAGTACACTGCTCCACATCTTCCTAGCTCCATCTATCAATCTCTCAAAAACTAAGCTTTTTAAAAGGTTTTTTTCAAAACTTCCGAAATAGAAAAGGTGTTATATTTCAATACGAAAATTATCATAAACACCGATTTTGTATAGCAAAGCTTATAAAGACAAAAAAAATCCTTTTGGTCACATAATTATAGCTTTAAAAAAAACTATTGTGATTTCCAGGAACTAGACAAAATTTGTGACAAAAAAACTAATTGGGAGTAAGGGAATCATCGCGGAATCCGATCAGAAAGTGATCGATGAGAAAAACCTTCCAAAAAACAAGTCATTTTACAGAAAACAAGCCAAAATCCGACTTGCAACTTTCAGATTCAAATCCTGACTCAATCGTTCGTTTCATTCCCTTACTCCTAATTAGTTTCTTGTCACAAATTTTGTCTAGTTCCTGGAAATCACAATGGTTTTTTATGGATCTTTAACCCAGAAAAAGTTATGTATCAAAAACATGATTCCCGTACTCCCAATTAGTTTTTTTGTCACAAATTTTGTCTAGTTCCTGGAAATCACAATAGTTTTTTTTTAAAGCTATAATTATGTGACCAAAAGGATTTTTTTGTCTTTATAAACTTTGCTATACAAAATCGGTGTTTATGATAATTTTCGTTATGAAATATAACACCTTTTCTATTTCCGAAGTTTTGAAAAAAACCTTTTAAAAAGCTTAGTTTTTGAGAGATTCATAGGTGGAGCTAGAATGATGTGGAGCCGTGTACCTGTACAGAAACTTGTACAGAAAGTTGTACAGGAACTTGTACAGAAAGTTGTATTTGTACTTGTACTTTTGAAAGAAAAGCTCAGAAACTTCTAGAATGATAGAATGATATGTAATAGAAATATCGAGAAATTTTCAGTACAAGTGTCTGAGCTTTACTTTAAAAAGTCAAAAGTCAACAATGCTTTCCCAAAATTCATCATAACGGTAAAGAAAAACAAAGAAAAGCAAAGCAAAGCAAGTCAACAAAGCAAAACTCATCAATCAGTGGAAAAAGTTAAGAAGAATAGGTACTTAGAAAGCCGATATTGACCCTAACAATGGATTCAGCTATGATTCAACCACAGTTAGAGTTCGATCAACCGCAGTTTCTCCTCAAAACTGACCTAGTTCCCAATGTTTCGAAAAAAGTTTCATTTAAACAGTGATTCCATGACATCTTTGTTTCAAAAATCTCTCAAATTACAGCAAAAATTTGTCTTAACTTTTATTTTTTCACTCTCTCACGCGTACTTTTCGATTCATCTCAAATTCTCGGAGAAAAGTGACGTTTTCTAGGTTCCATGCCAGTAAATTGGATTAAATTTTGAAGGTTTGAAGGTCACCACAAAGATCCTTTCAGAAAAAAACAAGAAAATAAAAGTTTTTCTATCAATTTCTATCAACAATCGAGTCTTTTTGATTTCAAATTTCGCTGAGAAACGAGTTTTTTTTGATGGGGATCTTTGTGATTTTCAGAAAATTCAATCAGGAACTCGGTTACACTAATTTGTGCGATTCGAAAAGGTGATTTTGAAGTGATTGTGTTTGCAGTGTTTTCATTTACGGATATAAATCTCAAAAAATTTAAACCTTTCTTTGTTGACAACACTCAACTTAATCAAAACTCTAAGCAACTTGACAAGTCAGCCAAATCTTTGCCAGAGAAAGGACCCCAACTCCAGCATACAGCCATGATCCTGCACCCTCTGATTACTACTTCCGGGCTATGAGCAATGATTTAGCGAACAAACACTTTGATTCCAAAGACAAGTTCTTGACAAGTCAACCAAATCTTTGCCAGAGAAAGGACCCAAAAGAGAGAAATCTTGAACATGATAATGTTTCGCATGTTTCGAAGATCACTCGTTCTACACTAAACTTACTTGGATGGGAGGTGATAGTCCATCCAGCATACAGCGCTGGTTCTGGGCCTTCTGATTTCTACTGATTCCGAATGATGAGCAATGATTTGGCGAAAAAACACTTTGCTTCCAAAGAAGAGGTCAAAAATAGCTAACAGGTTGGTTTGCGTCAAAACCGAAGCTTTTCTACGAAAGAGGCATTCAACTTCTCCCAATAAAATGGGCAAAAATCATACAAAATAATGGCAAATATCTCGCATGATTTGAAGTTGTTAATTGAAGAAAAATTTTGTTTTAAAAAACGTGCTAAGTCATACCCATCAATCCAATATATACCGTAAATACTGTAATAGTACCCCGTACAGCCGCGTAGTCGCAAAAGCTTTTTAGTATTTCATTTTTTTCAAAGCGCCCGTACTTTCAAAAAATGCGTCTTTGGTACCAAAAAATAGCTGAAATTCAGGGCTATTTTTTGATACCTAAGCGTAGCATAAGCCAGTGTCATAGCATAAACCAGTGTCGAGAAAAACTCGTTTAAAGCTAGACTACGCAACACTCCACACCATCATTATGGGGGTGGGGTACTATTACAATATTTACGGTAGGTATTTATATCCAGTATTTTATCGCTCTAACAGTTCGTGCATAATGTTTCTATTTTAAATTCTAAAGCTTTAGATCTTAACTTGAACGTGGGGCTTTACTTTTCGCCATAGAATTTCGTTTATTTAAACTTTAAACCTTCCTTCATCACAGCGATGACGTCATCACAAAAAAAAACAAGGCATTCTTGGGGGTGGAATACCTTTTGGAGCCATGAAAAAGAAGAGGATTTGTCCCAAAATCGTTGATGGATTGATAGAAGAAAAAGAGAAAAGAAAGGAAATAATCGCCGGAAATTTGTCACCAGAACACATAAAGCAAAAAAGGAATTGAGTAAAAAACAAAAGAAAAAGGATTTATTGGGGGCGGATGGATGGATTGGGGGTGGATGATTGATATGGATTCAAATGGAAAGAATGATTGTGACGTTGTAGCGATAGAAACTCTAACAATAAATCACTTATAGATGATAGCTTTTGTTGAATTGTATATGAGTCAGTTTTGAAAAGCTCACGAGTTTCAGAAACGGGCTGAAATTTTACAATCAGGTGCTTGCGAAATTTGACCGTTCTCTAGTAAGGTAATCGATCTAACTTAACCAGTTTTAGCTACTTTGTCGTAATTCCCAGCTATACCAAAGAGTTCGAACCGCAAGAACAAGAGTCCGGTGTTGCAAGAACAAGAGTCTAGTATCGCAAGAACAAGAGTCCAGTGTTGCAAGAACAAGTCCAGTGTTGCAAGAACAAGAGTCCGGTGTTGCAAGAACAAGAGTCTAGTGTCGCAAGAACAAGAGTCCAGTGTTGCAAGAACAAGAGTCCGGTGTTGCAAGAACAAGAGTCCAGTGTTGCAAGAACAAGTCCAGTGTTGCAAGAACAAGAGTCCGGTCTTGCAAGAACAAGAGTCTAGTGTTGCAAGGACAAGAGTCCAGTGTTGGAACAAGAGTCCAGTGTTGGAACAAGAGTCCAGTGTTGCAAGAACTTCTTACAATTTCAAGACTTTAAGACTTTAAGAATTCCTAGAATTGTAAGAAAGCAAACCAATCAAATCAAATTAGTCTGAGGTAAAAGTCAACAGGAACAAGCTTCTTCACTTTGAAAAGCTAAACTTTTGATTTCAACTTGTTTCAACAACTTTAACTCTCAACCTTGATCTCGAAGACTGATTCTCGTAGACTATTTCTAGTTCTCGTTCCATTTCTTGACTCAAACCCGTGAACTTCCCAAACTCAGCCAATAATCCATCCCGCATTGCACTTCCTCAATCCCCAATTCACCGCATAAACGGGCTTTCCACACAACCTCTAAATCTTTGCCCCGTTTATTTGCTATTTTTCCATCTCACCCTCTTTTCCCCCAAATACAGGCAAAGATTTCGTGTCACTTCGAACAAAAAGAAAAGAAAAGAAAAGAAAAGACACGAACGATCAAGGCGAAAAACCACAAATTTCCGTGTCTTTTCCCCAACGCCGATTATCGATTTTTGCATTAGAAAGTCTTTAAAAGCAAAAGCTTAAGATTTGCAAAGGTCCGGGAAACGAAAAATTTGATGAAAAAGTGATTTTTTAGGGGAAAACGATGAGAATTCGACGAATTTCCTCGGTTTTCAAGCTTTCACATCCGTTTCAACGAATTTCAAAGATCATCAAAGCTTTTGTACTTTAAACTTTCACCAACGCATCCTCTGGTGAACAAAATTTTCATAAACAACATTGTTTTGGGTAATTGAATGGAAATTTAAGGCAATTGTGTCAGGTTTAGGCTTAGGCTTAGGCTTAGGCTTAGCCTTCAGACACGCTCCAGGCACCAATCAGTGAGCATTGAGTGGCCCAAAAGGTGTAAAAAGTTACAAAGTTTGATATTCAGTAGATATTCAGTTTAAAAGGCTGAATTTTGTGCTTAAATTTTCGACTCACCGCTGGCCTTTTCCAGACGATATCCGATGATCGTCCCTGTTCGAGGAAAAGCGACGAATTCGTCGGCGGGAACTCAGTGTCCACGAAGAGTTGCCCGCTTTTCTCACATTGTTTTCGAATTGTTGAGTATCTGGAATAAAGAGATATAAGGCTAGCTGGATTATCTACTATATAAAGGATCTAAGAATTATGTCTGTCTGTCTATCCGTCTATCCGTCTATCTGCCTGTCTGTCTGTCTGTCTATCTGCCTGCCTGTCTGTCTGTCTGTCTATCTGTCTGTCTATCTGTCTGTCTATCTGTCTGTCTGTCTGTCTGTCTGTCTGTCTGTCTGTCTGTCTGTCTGTCTGTCTGTGCGCACTACTCCAGTGGGCTGTTTCAAATGACTGATAGCTAGTTTCCGCTTAGAATTTCATGTAGTTGTGCAACTTGTTTTTAAATTTTTAAAAAACCAAAAGTGCTGACGCGAGCTGGAGTCGAGCCCGAGTCGTGTGCGCTAGAGACAAGTGCGTTCGCACTGCGCCATCTACTAAAAGACCATGACCGAATGGCTAACGCGCGCGTCTTTCTAACGAACGGAGGAGAGGAGTCGCGGGTTCGCCTGCTCTCGCCGCCAATTCTTTTGCTTTCTGCTCCAAAATTTCTTTGCTGCAAAACAGCAGTGAGGCTTCGGGTTTCATATAAATTCTTTCATATAAATAAATTCTCTGAGATTTTTTCGTAACATGTGGCTCTTATCAGCTTTGAGAGTAAGCTAAAAAAAAATTTGATGACTTCTGGTCAGTGGCCAGGAAAGATAAGCGAATTTTGAGGTAAAAAAGAAGTAAAAGTATAGGCTGAATTAAGAAAAATGGTGTACTTAAAGCGTAAACTAAAATAAACTAAAAATAAAGCTAAAATAAGCTAAAATAAACGATCAAATTGCATAAAAAACTATCAAATTCTATAAAAAAACTATAAAATTTGATAAAAAACTATCAAATTCCATAAAAACCATCAAATTCCATAAAAGAAACTATAAAATTTAACTTTCTTTTAGTACTTTTCGATTAAAGGAACAAATTTGTAGGCCCTAATCGGAAAGAATCAATATTTTCGATATGCAAATTGTGATTCGTATGCTAATCGACTTGAATTGAAAGCTTAAAACAGTTTGAAAGCTTAAAATTTGGATAAATTTGAATAAATATAGAGGAATGGTTTTCAAAATCATAAAATATCATTCTTTGTTTCACCTTTGTCTCCCAAAATACGTGGTGCCGGCACGAGCTCGCATACGATAATGAATTGAGGGTTTTTGGAGTGAAGAACAGTGAAGTGAAGAACAAAAAAATTCGAATGCAAATCTGGAATCGAAAACGAGATTTGAAAAACGGAGCAAAAACAAAAACAGCGAAAATTTGAGGCTTTTTTGGTCAATTTGAGCATTTCACAATAGTTGACAGTACAAAAATGCCTTTAGCAAGGTGATAAATGTCTCGAAAAGAGGATTTGAGGTAATTGAATTGAATTGAAGTCATTGAATGACTTCAAATCGATTCATCAATTGCTCTGATTTCAGAGAGCATTTAGATCTTGTCAAAATTTACATAGAAATATCGGATTTTCATATAAAAGTCCTACAAAAGAGCTGATTGACTATAATCTTTAGAATCTTAAGAATCCTAAGAACTCTCCGGTCCAGGCTTTTTCTAAAGGTGATTCAATTTTTTGGGTCAAGACCTAGAGCCTGGTCTCGTCTGGAGTCGGCTTTTTTTTCGCCACTTTTCAATCGTTTTTTTCTAAACACTGGTTAATGCTAAAAATATAAGTTATATCTACAAAAAATTCCCCTATCTTTCTACTTTAATTTGATACATAAATGGATAGAAAGAAACGTACTGGTGTCAAGATATGAGGGTTTATTTGAAAGTAAAGTTAAACCACGCGATGCTCCTATGGGGAGGCTTTTATTAGAGTATTTAAATTGTACTATATAGTCTAAAAGCCAGAAATTTCTTGGGAGAAGCAAAAATTGATATATTTAAACGAAATTTTCATATTTTCAGCGCAATTTTTGTCTTTTGAATGCAAATTTGAAGCTGTTTTCTAATTTTGGCGGATTTCTTAAAAGAAAATAAGTTAATTTGGCATTATAATTTTAAAATTTCTAGCTTTAAGGGGTAAAATTTTTTAAAATGAAACGTTTTGCCCCGTCGAAGATCGTTTTGAGGGACATTTTCCCTCTTTATTCCCCTCTGGCTATGGACCTAAGTCTATCACATAGTACTGTAGATCTAAAATCTTGCATTGCTTTTGCCTAAATGTCTGGACAAGCCAAGATAGTCAAAGACTCAGATCTGCTCTATACTTTTTCGATTTACATGGCAGTTTACATGGCAGTTTACATGGCAGTTTATCTCAGGAATTTCCAGGTCTTTAGATGAAATTTGAGCTTTACAGCAGTGTGCAAAAGTTTGGCTGGGTAAACGTTTCGCAACAAAATTCTCTAACCCGGTTCGATCTAACAAAGCGACTCATGCCCAAAGCTGAGCTGACTCATACCCAAAGTAATAAGCTGTCATTTTTTGATATCTTTCCAATCAGATAATCAATTTTATGAACAATTTGAAAATCAACTGAATAAAGAGATCAACTTATAATTATAATAAAAGTTGTCTGGCTTTGATCGGATTTTGAACCAGAGAAGAGCCAGCCAAGCCAGCCAGCTAGCAAGACGCGTTTTAAATTATGAACTGAAGATGAACTGAAAAGGAAATCATTTCAAAACATCAAAACCAAGAAATAGCAAAACTTTGGGATTAGGTTGGGGTGAAGAATTGATCAAAATCCTTGTATGGGCGAGAGGTGTGTCCGTTGAAGAAAAATCGGGGAAAAGGGTGAAAAGGATGAAAAGGTGAAAAGAAAAAGAAGAAAAAAAGGCGCTGATTTGTCAAGGATGAATCGCTCGAGAGAATTGTGCAGAACTTTGGTGGAGATCGGGAGAGAAATGGGGAAAAGATTGGGGGAAAGACAAGGTGAGACTGCAGGCATCGAATTGAGGAAAGATTGGGGGAAGAAGGGGGAAGAAGGGGCGAAGAAGGGGGAAGAAGGGGTGGAGAGGAAGGGGAAAAGTTCCTTGAGACTGTGCGGAAATGTGAATTTCGAAGTCCTACACTTTAGCGGCTTACACTGGCATGAGTGCATTGTTACCCTTGCAATATTTACCTAGATCTCTTACTAGGGAATGTTGTTAACTTATCGTGGCTTTTTTGACTCGAGGAAATAGCCTATCTAATGCAGTTTTTCACGCTGATTCCGAATCTGCACTCAGTTTTTGGCAAACGCTTCTCTATAGCGAGATATTTGGCATACAAGATTTTGGGGTTTATGAGGGCGACGCACTGTCTTCAGTCAACGGCCTCGGTGGTGTAGTGGTTAGTGCGTATGTCAAAAACTGAGTGGAGATTCGGAATCAGCGTGAAAAACTACATCAGATAGGCTATTTCCCCGAGCTATTTCCCCAAAACCCACGATAATTTAACAACATTCCCTAGTTAGAAAAGCCCAGGGCAGTTCCTAGACCAAGATTTCTAGTCCAGGGCTCAGGCCCAGCGCAAGCACAAGCTTTAAAACAAATTTGAGCTTCTATCAGGCTTAGCGTCGTTATATAGAGAGTTATATAGAGTTCCGTTATAGAGCGAGTCGACTGTATGATATCATACTTGTATGAGATATGAGATAATACTTGTATTTAGTGTACTTCGACTTTCTACAGTGCTACTGTAAGCTAAGCTTGCCTATCAGTAATTAAATCACGGCAAAATATCGCCATAGCGTTTACGAAAGGGTTTTGAACTTTACGTTTTTATTAAAAAAGACATGAAAAGGATTTTATCGGAAAGTTGCACTCATTTTTTTACGAGGAATTTCTTGGAATCAACTTGTAAATTGTAGCAGAAAGTGTTCTTAAATTGGTGGATTCGTTTTTAAGAGATTCCAGTCCAAATCTTTGCAAAGACTTTCTTGTCAACCCAAGAAATTTGGCCCGGAATTGATTAAGATAAGAGCCATTCGTCTTGTAAAAATAAACGGTAAAGCCGACACCTTACTGACTTACTTGACTTTACATAAAGAATGACGTTTTTAAAAGAAAATCGTGATTAGCAGCACTCATTTTCACTCCGTTTCACTCGAACAAACCAGTAAGTCCCTCAATTCCACGTAAGAGTCATCAGAAATGATGTTTGAAAGTACTGATCCATTCAAATTTATTCAACTTAAACCCCCGTTTTTTTCAGTTATGTTTTGATTTCAATAGATTTGAAAGTTCACCTTTGGAAAATCTTGTTTTTTTCTAAAAGCTTTCGTACAACTCTACTTAGGCTATCTCCAGCAGAATAGAAATGCGTAAAAGCAGTTCCGGATTATCCTTTTCTGGATAATTAGAGAAAACTGAAATTTCCAATCCGTAATCTAATCCGTAATCTGATCCGGAACCTGATCCGGAATAAAAAAGGTTCCGGATTCTAAGTTCAGATTAAAGTCCAAGTATAAAGATCATCGATGAGCAATCTTGCACAGAAAATTGTCACAGGAATCATGGAGGAAAGGGGAAAGAAGGTGATTTTTCCCATTTCTTGTTCCTTGTTCTCACAACCCAGGACACTCCTTTTCCCTCGAAATCATAATCACTGTCGGATCTGTGTTTTTGTCACCACCTTTCCCTTTTCTTCTTCCTTTTCTTCTTCCTTTTCTTCTCCCTTTTCATTCCACTTGCAAACCGGAGGCCTTGAAAAAAAGTCTAAAATAAAGTCTACAATAATTTTTGCCGCTCTTGGGGTTATTTTTTCAAAAAATATTTTGTTTCTATATAGTTTTTCTATTTAAATGCAAACCAGGAGAAACCAGGATCAGTTTCTATTTAAGTGCAAACCAGGACAAACCAGGACCAACAAACCAGGACAAACCAGGACCAGCAAACCAGGACAAACCAGGACCAGCAAACCAGGACAAACCAGGATCAACAAACCAAGACCAGGACACCCCTCTTCCTAGTCTTGCTAACGATCTTTAAGCACTTTATTCAGCAAAACATTTTCAATCGATTTCCTATTTTTTTTCTCGATTAAGTTTTGAGGGTTCGATGCAAGTAGACATCCGGCACCGGACGAGCCATTCTGCCTGAAAATGATTCAATTTCATTTAGAATAATTTAGAATTTAGAATAATACTCGAAAATCTTTGGTTTTGCCAGCCTTTTCTGTGGAATCAACTGAAAAGCAATCGCAGATCATCAGACTTTACTGAGCCCGTGCAAGAATAGATTTTCTTTTCTTTTCTTACAGGTTTTCGTGGATTTTATTGAAAACTGGCCAGTGATCAAGTTGACGGTTGAATCCCCTTTCGCCTCTTTCTCATAGTCGATCAATTGACGCCAGAAGCCGACATTCGGTGAAACGATTGGACGGCGCTAGAAATGAAAAACGTGTTTCGAAATTGTTTTTACCGAGTCTGGCTTGGCGAGTCTGGTTTGGCGATTCTGACTTGGCGTGGGTCTAGATCAGGGCAAGCCTGAAGTCAAGTTCTGAGCTGACTTCTAGCCTTGCTCCAATCAAAAGAGCCGATCAGAAGAGCCAGTCAAAAGCCAGACCAGACTTGTGCTAGTTCAGGTCAGGCTAGAACCAGATCTGGCACCAGGTCCTGGTCTGATTTCTGATTGGCTCAAGAACTGCTCCCAGAAAAAGTAATTTGAGCTAGTCAGAAGCCAGGTTTAAAGGACTCAACTGAAGTGGTAAATTTCTCACTACATGAGACGTAGTCTACAAAGTCTAAAAGTTGACATGATCGTCTAAAGATCAGTCTTTCTCTTTTTGCCTTTCCATCACTCACCTGATTGAGATGATGATATGCGTCCTTGAGTGTGAACCCTTCACCTTTCACCAAATAGGCAAGACATAGAGCGGCCGATCGACTCACACCCGCTGCACAGAAAATTATCGCTTTCCCGCCCTGGAAAGCTTTTTGGGTAACTTTTTACAGTCATTCTTGCACGGATGGGCCTGCAAGCAAGGTTCTCTGGGTTATGGCAGGATTGTGGGACATTTGATAGGTGCCCCGCCCTGTTTGCCATTGGCAGTACAACTTTGAGCTCATCTTGGTGCTGGGTTGTTCAATTTTAATCGTTTTTCTATGAATCGACAGAGAAAGACTTGTCGCATTTAATGATGCCAAGAATATTGCAATTGAATAGCCCAACACCAAGATATTTGAGCTCAAAGTTAGATCGCTAATGGCAAAGGGGTGGCGCCACAATTTGATACGCGCCGCGCCCCTTTTGCCATTGCCAAAAAATGCTCAAATTTGTCTGTCTTCCATAAAACAATAATTTTTCTGTAATGATAACTGTTTATTTGTCCTTTTCTCCAAGAATATTTACACCAAAACGAGTTGGTTAAAAAAAGGGGAAAATTCGAGAGAGAAAACACTTTGAAGCAACGCGAAAATAGAGAGGATATGGATGATTTGAAGATGACGAAAAAAACGAAGAGAAGAGGGTGATTAGTAGCCGGAGAGCTCCTGAAAATTGAGGGAATTGACTTGGGGAAAGTTTAATGATCAACCGGGTATCAGATACAGAATTTTTAGTCTAAGCTAGTGTAAGAATAGGTGATTTGCTATTTTTTATTAGAATTATGGGCCAGAATCTGGATTCCGGCCTGAACTGGCCTAGAATCTGGTTGGACTGCTTCAGGCGTGAACTGGCTTACAACCTGAACCTGAACTGGCTTAGATCTGACTTTTACTCTGGAACCCAAGTGAAACATTCCTAGTAAGCTGATTACATTGCAAATCATAAAAGTTCCATATCTTATACCCAATCTTGTACAGTTTAGACTTTGATCTACTTTACTGTTCCGAGTCCGGGCCCTCATCGGATTGTCCCGAGTACAGTTCAAGTCATGAAGTCAATGACTAAGGAAGTTCTCAGTGAATGCTAATGAATTTGGGTAAATGTGCTTATTCTCGTAATGTAGCTATGTCAGATTGAACCTTTTTCTATTTCCCTCACCTGGAAGGTGTCATCGAGCTCATCGGAGATGGCGGCATATCTCTCTTTCTCGTGGACGAGCTCATCCTCGAGACGATCCACCTCTTTCTGGAGTTTCTGCACCGATCGCTCGGCGAACTCGGCACGAGTCTCAGCCTGGAAATTAATGGTTGAACTTACTAAACAATAATCACTCAAACTGAATCTGTAAAAAGAATCTCTAAAAAGAATCTCTAAAAAGAAGCAGAGATCTTGCTAGAGAACTGCACCAACTGAGCATCGAGACAGGGTTTTTGATTGTGAAAGCTGATATTCTTTTTTGATCACTGAAAGTTATTTTCATTTGATACTATTGCATTAAGCGCTCAATGCATTAACCGATCAAACCGTTCACATTCAGCGGCTTCAAAAAATCTGTTTCAATCTGACTAGGGAACTTCTTCAACTTAGCATCGATTTGGGGATATGGGACCTAGCGCAGAAGACCATTTCCAAGAGCTCTATGTATCTGTGTGTAGCTCTATGTATTTATGTAGCTTCTTACCATTTATAGACACTTTAAAACACCTAAAAATTGATTTTAGTGCTTTAACAAAAAAGCAAAAAGATTTTGACAGTGAGGGATTCGAACCCGAAGGGACCTGGGAGCGCGAGGAAGGGACCTGGGAGCGCGGAAGGGACCCAGGAAGGGACCTGGGAGCGCGAGAAGCGAGTACACTATCCACTGCACCATCGAGTCACTACTCTGCGGGAAGTAGATTCAGCGCCATACCGCGGCGAGGCCGTTTTTCCAAAAAGTACCCATACTTCAAAAGCATTTTCCTCGAAAACTGGATACTATGGAGTAGACGTGCTTAACGAGCCTTCAGTCTGCCTCGCTCTTCGATTTGCCTCGCTCCTTCTGTCTACCACACTCTTCGATTTTTTTACTGCCCAAAGCTCTTTCGAGCATGAGAACCCGTTCCCCGCAAGCCCTTATTTTAGGCTTAATTTTGATACTAAACAGGTTCTATTTTGCCATTCTTTAGATTTCGATCAATGTCGCGCCGGACTCGATAAGCTTAACAAGTCTAGAAATTTTTATCGAAAATGATCTAAAACTGTCTGAAAATTTTGCCCGGACTCATTAAGCAGGTCTACTATGAGGTAGAACTGAAAAACTCATTCCCATAGAATTTCATGGTTCCACCATGACCCAAACACATATCCCACCATGAAATAGGTTTGCTAGGTTCCAAAACGATGCTAAGTTGAAGTAGTTTTCTAATTAGTATCGTCAATTTGTTCAAAATCATTTTAAAATTCAAAAACGCAAGAATCTTTGCCAGATAGATGTTGGCAAGCTTGCACTTTTTCATGATTTAAAGAAAGAAATATGAATATTAGGATAAAAACCTATCAATGATCGATATTTGGTACGAATTTGATTGACAATAGATCTGCTTGATAATAGGCCAATTTGCTCCATTCACTCACCTCTTTGAGCCTCTGTGTGACGGTACGGATTTGCTCCTGGAATGCGTCTTCTCTTTGCATTGCCTTTTCCTCGGAAACTTCCAGCGATTTCAAGTTGTTTCCCACCACTCGCAACTCCTCCTCAAGTTCGACGATCTTGCTGGAAATTCGAAAATTAGCAAAAATCGGATAGATAAATCGAATTCTTTGCAAGGGTGTAACAGAGTTGCTTTTAAGGGAAATAGCTTTCAAGGAAAATAGCTTTCAAGGAATAGCTTCAAGGAAGATAGCTTTCAAGAAAAATAGCTTTTAAGGGAAATAGCTTTCAAGGAATAGCTTCCAAACTTCTTCCTTTCTTCTTTCTTTCATCCTTTCTTCTTCCTCCTTGTCTTTCCTTATTTCTCTTGACAAGTTAAGATGTCGGATAAATCAATGGTTAGAGAAAGAAGGTCAAGGAAGTGCAGAAGGTCAAGGAAGAGCAGAAGGTCAAGAAAGAGCTGGAAAACAGAAGGTCGAGGGATCAATCCCCGTTTCTACTACTACTTTTCTACTTTTCTCCTTCTCTACTACTTTTCTACTACAATTCTTTCACTTCTTTATTATTCTATCTATGTCTAATTATATAATTTTGAATCATGCTACTTCTCCTATTTGATTTTTTAATTTTTTAAATCCCCATACTTCTCTCCGGCTTCAGCCCTTTCCTCAGCTCTCTCGAGATCAGCCTCAACCATGGCAAGTTTACGGGCAACTTCATCGTATTTTCGGTCGGCCTCCTCGGCGAGGGCTTGGGCTTCCTGAAAAATTGATTCTATTACTAAAAGCATTCTCGGTTTTTAGTGCGAAAACTCTCATTGAATCCTTTCAAATATCAAAAGAGATCAAACAATTTTAGGCGGGGGAAAGAATTTTAGCCCACAAATGATAAAGCTTTAATTTAGAACTGTTCAAGATCATTAGAACACCAAAGAATGGCTTTTTTTTCCTTATCCTTGTCCCAACCTTGAGTTGTTCCTCAACAGAATTGGCCTTCTCTTCAACTTGGAATGATCGTGCTTCCATCTCGCGACGAGCTCTCTCAGTGTCATCGATTTGCGAAGTGGCCTCTTCGAGTTTCTCGGTGGCAACCTGGAAAATTGTAATCAAATTTGGGAACCTCAATTCAATTCAACACACAATATCATTTTTTAGTCTATTCTTATCGTTAGATCAATAGTATTTTCATTAATAGTTGGCCAGGCTACAGGCTTTCTCTTCGACTTGGAATCATCGTGTTTCCCAGCTTTTAAAAAGCAAAATACGGTGAATTGGGTAAAGTTTAGGGTTTCACGGAGTCACTTTTAAAATTGAATCAAAATCTGACCTTGAGGCGTTCCTCGGTTCTTTGGAGCTCTTCTTCAACGAGAACGATACGGCGATTGATCGAAGCGACCTCGGCCTCAGCTTCAGCAGCCTAGAAATTTAAGGTTTAACAAAATGAACAATATTGAGCAATATTAGTTGAAAATTCAAGTTTTTGACTTAGTAAATAGTAGATTAAGATCAAATAGTAGTATAAGTATACATAGGATCTGTAGATTAAGTAGATTAAGTAGATTAAGTAGATTAATAGTCGTATAAATATCCTAGTAAAAAAGAGCACTGAATTCACGATCGGAATTCGTTTTCATTGTGATAATGGAAGTTAAAAGTTTGCCCAGTAGCTTCAATTGCTATAAAGTTTAAGGAATTTAGTGGCTTTGAAGTTTTGTGGCTTTGCAGCTTTGCGGCTTTGTGGCTTTGCGGCTTTGAGCGGCTTAGCTTAGTGGCTCAGTTTAGTTTGAGGAATTGTCCGGCTTAGTTTGAGGGTTTGAGGAATTGTCCCTTCATTTACCTTCTTGTCTTTCTCCTCCAATTGGGTGGTGACATTGGCGAGTTTCTCTTGGATTTCGTCCAAATTGTTCTCAGTTTGAACCATCTTCTTCTGAGTGTCACGGAGCTCTTCCTCAACGGAGGCAAGACGGGTTTGCACCTCGCGTTCCTGAAATTGATGAATTTTACAAGAAACCAGGTAAATGATGATCTTTATGGGCTGTAAACTGAAGATATGGCTTATTAGTTGATAGTAAGCTAATAGGAAACTAAGAGGAAACTAAGAGGAAACTAGTAGTAGACTAATAGTAGACTAATCGTAGACTAATAGTAAGCTAATAGTAGACTAGTAGTAAACTAATAGTAAACTAATCATAAACTAATAGGAAACTAATAGGAAACTAATAGTAAACTAATAGTAGACTAAATCCTAAAACAAATCTCAAGTCCATCATAAGTTAGAATCCTCATCAATCTTTTTACAAGATCTAACAAGGGAAAAGCATTAGGTCAAGATGGGCTTTCAAAATGAAACTCTGATAGAACTTTTTCCCCTGATTTCTGAATCAAGTTTTAGTTTTTCTAGTGGAGTTCTGTAACGGGAGATACTTTCTATACAAAAATTGGCCCCGATTCGTCTATGTTTAGATTTCTTTATCGTTCCTAAAACGTGAGCTCATGGCTGAGTGAAAGTGTGCTAGCCTATGAGGTTCAAATTTTCTTTTTGCCTTTTTACCTCGGGTTTAAAGCTCCATGCTGCCAATTTTCCCTTGTTTTTGCAAAAGGAAAAATTATTACAATTTTAAACAATTAGAAGATAGGTTTTTTGTTTAAAATCTTGTTAATTGTCTTCTTTCGCAAAAACAAAAAAAATTCTCTTGGGGATTTGAAGTAAAAAAGCGGGTACTACGCCGGTTGGGTGGGCAATTTTCTCTTCAAAACCACTTTTTCTAGGGTAGTTTTATGCAAAGATTCCAAAAAACACAACGAGAGCTTGGGAAAAGGCGTTTTAAGCCAAGTTTCAGGGTTTCAAAGTGCGCGCTTTTATAGAACCCAAGCTTCTACATAGCCCATCAAATGGAGCTCAAGCTATCGACTATTGGGGCACTTTTCAGGGTCACAACTAAGCCAAAACCATTTTCAATTAATAAATATTCATTTTCTAATCTAAATTAACTGGTAGAGGCAAAAGAAATTGAAAAAATGTTTTTTTAAGTTTTTGACCTATTTTGACTCATGCGGGGGGCCACATGGTCGAAATTTGAAAAAAGCTTTTTTATTTTGCTTTAATTTAATCAGAAACGTCATCAGTAGGTTAAATTATACCAGAAGAAGTGTTTTTGGCTTTAGAAAATGTTTTGAGAGATCATTTTTAGACCACTTCCCTTTGTCTACTGTATGAGCGGACTTTGGAGCCCTGAAACTCCGCTTAAAACGCCTTTTCTCAAGTTTTCGTTGTGTTTTTTGGAACCTACGCATAAAACTATCCCAGAAATAGTCGCAAATCGAAATAGTTCTCTCAGATGTTAGCAATACATGGCTATTGTACAGGGTGACCAAGAATTACCGCAACAACTTTTTGGAAGAGTATCTGGGAAATGTCTAATTTATTTCAAAAGTGGCAAGTGTTATACAGAAAATTGTAGGCCTAATTCTCGGCAACCATCATCTACCAAAAACATCCCGATGGGACTTATACAACTCATTTAACAAGCGCTTGAATGAGCGCTAGTCGACATCTCTCCGGCGAATCTGTCCTTTGGCCACAGATTGCCTCATATGGGTGACCGCAGATAACACTTGCCACTTTTGAAATAAATTAGACATTGCCTAGATACTTGTCCAAAAAGTTGTTGCGGTAATTCTTGGCCTAGGTTAACAATTGGTCTGTTTGATATTTCTTCTACCGATCTACCGTACCTCTTAGTTTTCTAGATTCTACCATTTTCTCCAATTGCTTTCTCAAATTGGCCTTCTCAAATTAGCTTACCGTACCTTATCCTCAGGCTTACCGTACCCGTATCCTATATTTTCTATTTCTACCGTACCTTTGCCTCAGCTTCGTCAGCTCTGACCAAGGCGGCATCCTTCTCCATCTTCATCGCTTGCATCTTCTTCTTGATGGCGTCCATTTTTGAGTTCTGTTGCTTCGGGTTTACCCGGACCGGAGATAAACAAACTGAAACATCGAGAAAGTGATCGGAAATCACAACAAAGCAAAAATGGAACGAGAAAATCGATGAAATTGAAGCAAATCATTGGGCTGTTTTTCTTTTCTCGAGATGTCAAGGGAATTATTTTTCAAATTGTAGAATAAAATAGGGTATTTCAAAATAGCTAAATGAAAATTTGAGACAATACAGTACAGCTTTTAAAGAACTGTTGGGTTCTAAAGGTTTTAAAGGACCATAAAGTTACACTGCTTTTAAAGTGGTTCCCAAAATCGGGACTTTAAAAGCCCGGTGAATAATTTGAAAGGAGTTCAGTCTACTGTACTTGAATTACTCTAGCGAAAAAGGATACTAGAATCTTACAGAATCTTTAAGTATCTGTAGATCTAGACTGGGACAAAGCTGGACTACGGTAGATGTAGTGGCAATCAGGGATAATTGGTAAGGCTCAATTAATAAGGTAAGCCGGGCTAGGTAAAGTCAGGCCCATGGATTCTTTTGAAGCCCCTGGAGTAAGGATCTGTAGTAAAACCAAGCTCGATCAAGCAAGGTATAACTAGTTTAGAGCCAAGTCAAAGCCAGATCAAAGCCAGGTCAAAGCCAGGTCAGAGACTATAGAAGTTTTTGAGTTTTCAGAGACTCCAGAAGTTTTTGTAATATCTTAGTATTGACGATTTTGTTCAAAATCAGTTTAAAATTCAAAGTCAAAAACACAAGATTCAAGATCAAGATTCAGAACTTTAAGAAAGAAATATAGAAAAAAAGAAAGCCAGGCTAGGAGCTAGTTGATCTATTCTAACCTAGCCTGGCCCCTGACCTGGTCTGGCTGGCCAGGATACTGATTTCTGATCAATTTTCCTGATCAATCAAAGTTAGATCAAGTCAACTTAGAGAATATGGCTAAAACTGGCTAAAACCAGCAGGATTAGGATATACAGTACTTTTCAAAAGCTGCTTCCTAGCTCTATATGGGATGGAATGGAAAAGGAATAAAAACTGGAATAGACTGGAATGGAAAAGGTAAAGAATGAAGATTGTGATAGCTCAATGCTCTAGAATGCGAGAATGCTAGAAAGCAATGCGAACCAATTAGCATAACCAAATAAAACGAATAGCCCAATCAGAAAGTCGATATTTTGAGTGAAAAGAGTGGGAGTTTCAGTTCTCGAGGATTGGAGTCCCAGTAGAGATCCAGATCAAGAAAAGGGAAAAAGAGGAAGCACAAAAGAGAATGGATAACTCTAAGAATCGGAGCTTTTCCCCCACAAATATCGATGTGCTTTTCGCTTTGTGTTTCTCTGTATTGGGGGAGGGGGAGCACACGGTGTAAAGCTGAAAGAAGGGAAGCGGACCCCCTCAAGGCCTTTATCTTTTTCTATATTCTTTATTCTTTTCTATCCTTTCTTTTCCTCACTTTTCTCCTTTTCTATCTTTCTTTCCTTCTTTCCTTCTTCCTTCTTCCTTCTTTCCTTCTTCCTTCTCATCCTTTCCCTTTACATCCAATGCATTTCTCTCTTTACAACCAACTCTTGCTTCAATAGCTCTTTCAATCTTCATTCCTCTAATTTCCTCAATTCCCAAATCTTTTCCATTTCCTAGCATACAAATCTCTTAACGAATTGTCTTTCTTCGCATTCTCCTTCTTCTCTCTTTCTCACTTTATCTCAATCTTGACTTCTTTATCTTCTTCATCTTCTTCATCCTCTTTACCCCGTCTATCACAGCCTCTACACCTCCCCTACCTCTCTCACTTTGTCAGAAAATCTTTCTTTATCTAACTTTTCTTGTATCCACCCTTGCCTCACTCAACTTTTGTTCAAAACCTCTTTATCTCATCCAAACCTCTTTATCTCGTTCTTTACCACACTTACAACTCTTGTCTCTATCTCATTCTCCTCCACCTCCCCTCCAGGCAGCTGACATCAGAGCGGGGGCGAATCCAAGACCCAAAACAGCCCCTCGTTTTCTTTTCTTTCTCTTCATGATCCACAAGATCGAACTGAGCCTCGATTTAAGTTCAGCAAAAAGATTGGGGATCATTCACAAAAGCACTTGCTTCACACAGCGAAAAATTGGGGATCTTGATCATAACTTGGGGGTGGGTGGAGAGTCTAAAATGTCTACTGGTGGAAATTAGAGTCGAACCTTGATATAACGAACTAAGAGACTGACCAAAAAGTCCGTTCTACCTAAGTGTTCGTTGTATTGAGCGTTTCGCTGAATCGAAGTTCGTTATATTGAAGTTCGACTGTATCAAAGTTGTATCAAAGTGTTTACAACTAGGAACAGGGTAACAACAGTGAATCATGTCAGATCACAAAGACTTGAGAGTAACTTTTGTTGATTAACCCATAAAAAAATCCCAAGTTTCCTACTTTGAAAAGCTTTTAAATTTCAATTTTTAAAGAGCACCTCCCAATGATTTGCTTTGCCAAGCTTTAAAATAACAAAAATACAATAGAAAACAAGTAAATCACGAAAAATATAATCAAAACTGTTATTCTGTATGGATTTTTCTTGAAAACTTGATACTTAGAGCTCAAAAATGGATACTTAGAGCTCAAAAAATTTAAAACACACGTTTTCTGATGCACTCAATTCTTCTAGACTAGGGAAATGAGGAATTAAGCGTGAAAATTAGGATTTGGTGTTGATTTTGAGCCATTTTGAGCCCAAATTTGTTAAACCTATAGAACCTATGTTAAACCTTTGTTAAACCTTTGTTAAACCTTAAACCTATGAAGCATCGAGTGCGCCAGAAAAGATGCTAAAATGCAGGCGCAAAGTATATGAGGTAAACTGCTTTTTAAACTCTTGCACCAACCTTTTCCTTGGCGCCATCAACGAACTGATTGACTGCATCGAAATGTTGATTCAATTTCGCCAGCACATCGTCTGCCACGGGCACCTCAAGCACTTCGACAGCTGAAAATTCAATCTCAAAAAGCTTTCAGATGTTTGAACCACAAAATCTTGCTTTCTCGTCGAAACGATTTTCTAAACCATTTCCCTATTTCTCTTTCTCCCTTTCTTCTCTCTATTTTCATCAAATCCCTCCACTTTTTATATCTTTCAATATCTTTTGTGAATTCTCACAGAATTAAACCAAAAAAAGTCAATAGATTAGATAAAAATGGAGTCAAGATTACGGTAGAAAGAGAAATAGGGACACTGTTTTGAAAATGAGTCTTCGAGAGGGTATTCTGTATTTACGGCCTCTTTAGTAGATTAGCTCCAAAGCGCCAAGTTCAACCCTAATGTGTTAAGTGTTAGATAAAATGTTGAAGCCCATAATCTTGGCTACATTTATCTATTAAAAGTTTTCCAAGTGCGGATATACAACCAATTTTAGAAGCCTTTGAATGAGTTGATCCCTTTCCTCTCCGGCACGCCGCCATTTTTGATAGCTCAAAAGCGCCAAGTTCAACCAAAATGTGTTAAGTGTTATATGAAATGTTGAAGCCCATAATCTTGGCTACATTTATCTATTAAAAGTTTCTCGATTCGAGCTATACAACTCATTTTACAAGCTCTTGAATGAGTCGCCAAAAATGGCAGCGAGGGATCAACTAGTACCCATTCAAGAGCTTGTAAAATGAGTTGTATAGCTTGAATCGGGAAACTTTTAAGAGATAAATGTAGCCAAGATTATGGGCTTCAACATTTTATCTAACACTTAACACATTAGGGTTGAACTTGACGCTTGGGAGCTCGGGAGCTTGGGAGCTTGGAAAAAAAGAAGTCGCCGTAAATACTCAACATCCTGTCCTATAAGAGAATTCAGTGAACAAAATAAGGCAAAAATTAAAGCACAAAATACACAATAAACTCGTTTAAAGTTTAAAGAAATGAAGAAATGAAGAAATGAAAAAGATTAGATAAAAATCGATTCAAGATTACTTTAGCAAACTCGCAAAGAATCGAACTCACTTTTCAATTTTTTCCCTATCAATCCGAGATTTGTCGCATCGATGACGTGCGTGATGCCGAATTGTTTCAACTGAAATTTGAGAATGAAAAGTTTTAAGCGTGGCTGAGAAATTAAAAATGACGAGATTTGGGATTTTGTACGAAAAAGTTCTTGTCTTAACCACTAGTTTATGTGTTTAAAACAAGACTTTAAGTCTTTTTGCTCCTTATCGTACAAACTTCTTTGGTTAAGCAGCTCGAATTTTACCCACTATTTATACTTTTACTTCAACCCAACGGTTTACTTGAACGAATTCAATAAAGAAGCTGAAATGCGAAAGATTTCAAGCAAAATGGACCAAGATTTGTTTGCTTGCTTTGCTTTTATTTGCTTTCATCCTGAGAAACAGGATGAAAGCAACAATTTAACTGATTTAACTTGAACAGAATGAAAGGAACTTTTTTCAAATATGATATTTCATTGTCCAGTACTGTACCTTTACTTCAACTCAACGGTTTACTTAACCGAATTCAATAACCGGGCTAAAATGTGGAAGGATTCAAGCAAAATAGACCAAGTTTTGTTCGAAACAGAATGAAAGCAACAATTTAACTGATTTCACTTGTATTTAACACTGACTTTGACAGCAAGAAAATAAACAAAAATTTGCAAAAATTTATAAAAGATTGAGAGAGAAAAAAGGTATTCAGACGAGACAACAATTGAGCGTAATTCGTACTTTTTCGTAGTCATTTGTTTTACTTTGGAACGACTTTTTGATGTAAATTTGTGATCTTGAATGTATAACGCTAAATATTTAGCACAGAAAGTCGTTTCGTTCCTTTTACCTACTTCTGTTTAAAATCAACAAATGCACCAATTGAGCTACACACTGGACAGCGTGAACTTTCTAAACTTTCTGGACTTTCTGGACTTTCTGGACTTTCTGGACTAAACATGTGCTCAGTCGGTACCAGGGTTTTTCTAAAAAGCCAGGCCAAAGTCAGGTTGGCTTTGCTTGACCAGCCGAACCGTTTTTTAGCCTTTTAAAAGCAAGAAAATGAACAAATATTTCAACAATATATAAAAAGATTGAGAGAAAAGGGAAAAAGGAGAAAAGTCGAGACAACAATTCAACGAAACTAGGACTTTTTCGTAGTCGTTTTACTTTGAAACTATGCACTTTTGGATGTAGGTTTGTCAGCTAAGCTGTAAGCTAAGCTGTAAGCTGTAAGCTGCAAGCTGTAAGCTGCAAGCTAATGTAAATCGCAGCTACAATTTAGCACAGATTGCTTCATTGATGTGAAAAGCACTGTGTTGTATGAGATTTGTAGCCAGATTTATTGCAAAATCTCAAAAAGAAAAGCTAATTTTTTTAAACTCTTTAATGGCCTTTTTAATCGCCTTTCTAATAGCATTTTTAATCGCCAAATATTGTTAAAAAAATGCAATCAAAAGTACTAAATTGTTAAGTGCATACAGGGTGACTGAAAAGTTCTCATACCTTCAGAAAAAGTTCTTTTTGATGGGGAAATATTGAGAAACTTTTTAAGCTATGTTGATTTTCAGATTTTCCACATATTTTCACATTAGAAACGAAATTTTCAACTCACTAGCTCTATTCGAAAAAGTTTTACGGGCAATTAATAAAAGTTGGGCAGTCGAAGACTTGGACAATTCGGACAGTCGGACAATCCAGGACAGTTCAACTCTTTATCGTAAAAGAGTTATTCGTAAAAGCTATTTTTACAGAAAATATGATTAGTAGTTGTGGATTTTTATTAGTATCAATATCAATATCAACAATTTTTATCAGTGATTTTTATCGAACTGTCCGAACTGTCCGATTAAAAGTTCTTTGCTACTTCATTTCCCTTTTAATATTAACTGTAAAAAGCTTTTAGTAAGACTCTCCGACTTTTACTGATTGTACTTTTACTGATTACTGTTTTACGTTAATTTCTTTCTGATTTGCTTTACTCGTTGCTCGCATCCACATTGGAAACAAAGGGAAAAGAAACGTCACTCATTTTCCCATTTCTCCCATAAAAACATCGCTTTCAGCTTTGCTACTTCATTTCCCTTTTAATACAGTGCGGTGCAACTTGATTGGGCTTAACTATTAGCTTAACTAACTATACATCACTACAGTGCGGTGTAAAACCATGCGCCACCCCCTAAATTTCAATTTTCTGCGGCTTCCGTGCCAGTGACAAAAAAAAACTGAAAACGTAGTTAGATTCAGGACCAGAAATAACCCTTAAACCCCAAAAATCATCGACATAGCATAAATAGGGAAAATGGAACAGCCAAAAAACGAAAATTCACCCGATGCAAAACCGAACGCCACCGCCCAAATTTTGGTGTCGTTGTTGCATTTTTGTTCAATTTTTATGATAACAAGGTTTATTTATAACAATAACAGTTTAATATTTTGTTGTCTGTCCCTGACGACTGATCATGTCAAATATTCGACTCAGCATGCTGTTAACTAGCTTCTTGATGGTGCTTCTTGGAATGGTATTCCACTCGCGGGTAATGGAAAGCCAGGAAAATGGCTATTTCAGCCAGGAAAATGTAACAGCCAAAAAACGAAAATTCACCCGGTGCAAAACCAAACGCCACCCCCCCAAATTTTGGTGTCATTTCATATTTTTTTTCTATTAACGGGAAATAAACTGTAAAGGAGCTATCGTTAAAATTATTTTTCACGTCTAGAAAACGTGAAGAAGTCTAGAAAACGTGAAGAAGTCTAGAAAACGTGAAGAAGTCTAGAAAACGTGAAGAAAAACAGAGTCGATGAAAAGGAAAAGTATAAACTTAGTCGTGATTGGTTTACCGAAATAGAGTGCCCATGTATTAACTGAAAAAAAGCTTTTAGTAAGAAAAAAGTACACCAATGTAACAGAATGGCACGCGAACAGAATACATGTTTTTTACTCTAAACTTTACAATATTTATTTCCCACCTTTGCCTCCGTGATACATCCATAGCCTGAAACAAAGAGGTGTGGTAGAATCTCACTGATATCATGTAAATGAGTCGGCTTATGGGGTTTCTCCTCTTTCCCCTGTTTCGTCGCAATCATCTGGAAAACGTTAAGAATTAGTTAATAAAGGAAAAGTGTTTATAAAGTTTAGAAAATTGTTTACAAAGGGCACCACAGGGTTGGCCCACAGTGCCGCACTTCGGAGGACCTAGATTGGCCAAAAATTGAGCCAATCGTTTGTGATTTTTCTGGAGATAAATCTTAAGGATATCTTCTGGAATGGTGCCAATTATCTAATCAATTCAAGCTTTCAACTTTTTTATATAGCTTTTCAAAGATTTTCAATAGATTTTTGAGAGTGATCTTGTCAAAATCTTCTTGAATTTCATCTTTTTTAATAAAAAGTCTTTAAGATTTTAATGGTTTTCAATTAATCATATTTAGTTATGAAATTTAAAAGCGATAGACTTTGAAAAATCAGATTTTCTTGTTTTTTCGTGGTTTCTCTGAATGCATAAATGGTTCAAGTAAAAAAGACGATGTTAAGTGAGTTTTGGGTGGCATTTCTCAAGAATTTTTGCACTTGAACATATGAAACTTTGTTTATTAACATAATAAATTCAATCTCAACGAGATTTTGACAAGATGGCTCTCAAAAATCCCATAAATGAGTAGCTTGACCAGCGACATTTTGCTCTCAACTTTGGAAGGTTATATAAAAAAATTGAAAGCTTGAATCGTTTAGATAATTGGCACCGTTCTAGGAGATATCCTTAAGATTTATCTCCAGAAAAATGAGAACGATTGGCTCAATTTTTGACCAATTTAGGCCTGTAAAAGCGCATTGGAACTAAGAAAAGTTGAGAAAAAGAACAAGTTGAAGAATGAGGAAAATAGAATTGTATGAGAAAAGAAAATTCTCTGTATAATGCTATAAGGATTTAAAGATAATCGCTTTTTTAGATTAAAAACACTTTTGATAATTGTCACGAATCATTTCAAGAAGAGAGAGGTAAAAGAAAAGCACAAAAAGGAGAGGCACGAGAATGTTACAACGTGAAAGGAAAGGTTAGGTTGGGGAGCTTTGGAGAGAAATCCAATGACACCCGGACATCATGGGTTTATCATTGGTTAAATATTAAATAACGATAAATTAAATAACGATAAATTAAATAACGATAAATTAAATAACGATAAATTAAATAACGATAAATTAAATAACGATAAATTAAATAACGATAAATCACAAAGCTATAGAGATACTTTCCGTTTTCTCGAAAACTGATTCGAAAGGTCAAGAAAAGGAGAGATTTGTTTGCGAAAAGAAACCCGGCACTTATCAGGTGGCTCAAACTTCGTCACACACACTCAATAACTTGTTTGTTTTTTTCTAGGAGATCAGAAATTTGAAGAAAGAAGTTAGACTGTAAATTGTAACCACTGAAAAACAAGATTCGTTTTCTAGAAAATGCGTTATTTCATTTCACACACGATCACGTCTGCAAAATGCAAAATGCAAAATGCAAAATGCAAAATGCAAAATGCAAAATGCAAAATGCAAAATGCAAAAATTAATGTCTGCAAAATTGAATTTCAATTCGAATTTCTTTCAAAAGATCACATCAATGAAAGAAAATAATATTTATTGAAACGAAAGCCTTCAAGCAATTTGTTTTGTTTAAAGATACAAATCAGATGCATTTTCAATGTACTTTATTAGGTTGATGCAAAAGTCTTTTTCATTTTTTTCGTACTTCTGTTAAAAAGTAACAAATTCACCAATTAATCTATAGTTTGCTCGATAAAAAAAGTGTTTTTTTGTTCAATTTGCATCTTTTTAAATGAATTTCGGTTGACTTTCAAGCAAATTCGAGAGTGAAAAACGCCTTTTTCGTAAAAATCTATAAAAAACTCTACGGAAAAATTGGCTGAATGAATTTCTCTGAAATTTTGGCGAAATATCAAACGTTTTTTTTCTCTATCTTTTATCTATTGACACGAAGATAGGTTTTCTTTAGCTAAGGTGTCTAAACCGCATCATCGAGTTAGCCCTTTTTGACTACCCGACTTCATACTCTCAAGAAAATCCAGGCATAAAATGTTTTTAAACCCGTTTTAATGTTATTTTGCAGAAAAATAATTGGTTTTTCTAATGAAATCAACCGTAGTTTAATTGGTGCATTTGTTGGCTTGAAACGGCAGACGAAAAGGAAAGAAAAGACTTATGCATCAACCTAATACTTTACGATAGAATAACCTTCAACAAACGGTTTTTCTTGGAAAGACAAAGTTAGAGTAAAAGTGAGAACAGGAAAAGTCGATGTCGATGTTACTAACTAGAGTAACTAGACATGCTAGTCGATCGAGTCGATCAACAAAAGAAAAGCTTTGTGGGAATCGGCGCCATTTCATTCTAGTCGATCGATTCGAGTCGATCGACAAAAGAAAGGCTTTGTGGGAATCTCTTAAAAGTGATTTTCTAGAGAAATAGTCAAGCTTTTTGATCAAATAGAACTTGGATTTAAAGAAGGCTTTATGCGTGTAAAAAGTTTCTTTAAAGCTCGGCACCATTTCATTCTTCGCAGCCCAATACAACTCACACTATCTTGATAAATATCCAAATGTATATGTTCAACTCTTCAACTCTTCAACTCTTCAATTCTTCTAAACAAATTTGATTCTTTCAAAGAGACAAAAGCTCAGATAGACAGAGTTCACTCGACTCCAGAGATTCCAGTCATTAAAAAGTGAATTGAAACGCGTGAAATAGCGAAATTTGAGTGTTGTGTGGTTGGTGAGAAAAATGAAAAAAGCTTTTATGAAAATGAAAATTTGAAAACGAGATTTAAACATTGAAAAATAACTGGCAAGCATTTCAAAAACAGAAAGATATTTTTATTTCCCTTGGAGCTTTTGATTGAGAGTGTGCCCAGCGACGGCTCCTCCAATCGCTCCGGCCGGTCCACCAGCGACGGCTCCTATAAACAAGAAACGATTTTTAAGAGAGTTAGACCGTGATGTTCATATATTTTCCGTCACATCTCATTGAAAAACAATTCCTTTCTAGATTTTGCTCTTTCACTTTTTCACTTTCACTAGAACTGAGCTTTTGAACTGAGCTTAAGTTCAGTCATTCAGTCATTCACTGACTGAATGACTGAACTAAAGCTGGTTGAATGAAAGTGACATAAATGGTTGCAATAGGCTCTATAAGATGGCTGCTTTTTAGAACTACCAAAAAGCGTTCCAGCAGTTGTCCACGAGCCAACAGAAGACGCTTCAACAGCTTTCCGTGCCTCGTTCGAATCTCCACAGGCTGCGTGAATTCCAGCTAAACATTGTGTAAGTTCGTTCTTGAAAAGATAGTCTTTTCAAGTACTTCTAAAGTCTCACCTTTGATTTGCCCAACGACGGGAATATAATTGACAGCTGAAGAGACCTCGTTGCCCATTTCAAAGAAGCTTTAATGGAATTGAGTTGACGATTCAAAGAAGTTTTGGCTTTTTTCAAAGAAGGTTATACCTTTTAAACCCATTTTTTTATTATGCAATGAATTAAATGAGTGCGCGAACAAATAAGAAGAAACACAACTAACTAATGAGTCAAGTTAAACAGAAAAAGGATGAGGCCGAAAACAAATAAGTTTTTCAATTTCCTTGCATTGCTTTTGAGTATTTGACTCTTTCGTTAATTGGTTAATTTCGAAAAACGTCTATCTCCTATTACATTGTTTCGAAAGAACAAGTTCTAAACAAGTTTTTCTACTAAATTTCCTTTCACTCAGTTGGCTGTGGAGGCTAAAAAGTGGGCAAAACGCAAACTACTAGTTCTGCACCCTCTACTCGACTGTATCCAATAATTTAAATCAAAAGAAATCACAAAAAGAATTACAAAGAATAAAAAGCTGCAAAAAGAATCATATGTTTCTTTCTTTGATTGCTCATAGCACCTAAAAGAGAGCTAACGTTAGCTAACGAAGAATTTCTTTATGACGAGTAAATTCTTGCTTGATTCAGCTTAAACAATGATTGTATTTGTGAAATTGTTAGAAGAATTAGAGTTACAAAACAGAACTGGAAAAAAGATCGTTCATAAGATCGTTGACAAGATCGTTGACAAGAACGGAATGAACAAGACGAACAAGACGGAGGAACAAGACGTAAAAACCTTTCTCTCGTTTCGATGGGCAATTTCGATCAAAAATTTTAGTACATTTCTCTAGAGTTGATTGAAATTTGATTTTGAATTTGATTTATAAAGTTTAAATAGCTTTTGAGCTTTTCTTTGCAAAGAGAATTCTATGCTTTTGATTTGATTTTGATTTGATTTTGATTTGATTTTGATTTTGATTTGTAGTTCTGAAAAGCAACCCGGAGCCTTTGTAGAGCCTATTTTAATCACTTATTTCACTTTCATTCAAAGAGAAGAGCGTCGTTTTGTAGACATAGTTTGTGTTTGTAGTTTGTGATCGTACCCCCATAAAACCCCGGGTTTTTGTGGTGAAAAATGGCTGACAATTTTTATAGCACTATTCAATTCCCCCTTTATGGCATTGCTAGTTTATAGTTGTACCCACAAAATCCCATTTATTAGCTCTAGTCCCTACCATAAACATGAATATTGTCATCATTTTTTTGGCTTCATTCTTGTTTATTTGTGCGCTAGATCCATTATTCAAATCGGCTTTCATGGAAAATCATTGTACTTTTCGAAAAAAAGAAAGCTAATCTTGTTTTCACTTTTGAAAAATCACAAAAAACATTGCAAAAAGCGACTATAAATGAGGGAAACAGGAGCGAGGGAATAGAGCCAAATATTTTGAAATACCTACAAGCATGTGGTTCTGTTATCTATTATTAACTTTCGCCATTGCTTCAATTGAAGTTAGGGCAGTGGTGGCTAATTGTTGTACAAATAAACCATCGAATGGAACAGCGGCACTCTGTGCCAATGATTGGGGTAAGTTTTTGATTCTGATTTGATTCTGATTCTGAAAATCACTGAAAAATGTGAATTGAAAGTAGATTCATGACCGTGACTGCTGTTTGACTAATTTCATTCAACTTCAGTTACTCGTTCACAAGTTCACTCAGTGAATC